GAGTTGGTTCTTTGGAAAGGCTCCTTTGGATTTCTGTCTGTGGGAGTGAGAGACAGCCTGCTGTCCTCATTTCCTTCTTGGCAGCTGGACATCCTCCCTGCCCTTTGGAGAACTGAGGTAAGTGCAGTTGTGTGGAGAGCAATCAATTGTTTGTCATGCATGTTTAATAAACAGCTGGGGTGACAGCCAGGACACCTTGGGTAGCCTTGATAGCCATGAGTTTCTAAAGTGATCCAGTGTTTGACTCACGCTGAGTTATTTGCAGGCAAATGGAATGGTTTGATTTTCAGAGGGAGGTGAGGGAGGTGGTGTTTCCATATCTGTGTGTCTTTTTTTCAGGCTTCCTTTCTTCATATTTCTTTTTTTCAGTTGCTACCTTTTTCTGAAGGAAAGTGCTGCTGCTGCTGGTATTTTCTATCAAACTTCCCTCTTGTCCCAGCTTCACGTCTCTCCCTGCTAAGGGAGAGTGATGATAACAGTCCTGGGGATTTGTCCAGTGGTCTCTTACCAGCCAGAGCTGCAGCTGTTGAACAGATTTTTCAAGCATCTCCTAAATCAGTTTCTCCCAGCCCTTGGCATTATCCTCTAACTCAAATTTGGGTTTTCTATTGAGGGTCGTAGTGGCTCTGGTGAAGATTTGTGTCCATGACCTCAAGAACATTGAGGTGCAGCAGTGCATTGGATGCAGTAGGAGGCTTTCCACAGGCTTTGGTGCACTTTGGCTCAGGCTTGTGAAGAAAAACAGGAAACACTGGAAAACACACCAAGGGTAAACAGAGCAGTTTAGTTACATTAACTGTCTAGAGGAGAAACTCCACAAATGACCCAAACAAACAAAGCAAGTGCATTGGTTCAGCATTGCTGTGGGAAAACACAGGGCTGATAATTGAGTTTTGCTTAAGAGAATTACACAAGAAATTGGCCAGCTCAGGCCCAGAGTGTAATTCTGGCATCCTGACCCAGTTCTGATTGCTGCACAGGCTTCAGGGAGGCCAGAGCTCCCAGAGACTGCATGCTATTTTTTATTCATAGCAGTGCTACTTTAAAGCCTTGCTCTCCAAAAACACTGCATCAAAGAGATCTGTTGTAGCTGCCTCCCTGTGACTCCTGATCAGATTTGCCTTGCTGTGATTCTGTTAACAGTCAGGGCTCACACTGGTCAGTCAGCTGGTGTCTGGCCTCACACATGATGAGCCACAGTAAATGTGCTGCAGGACTCCTCCAGAGAGGCCATGGTGTCTTTGACTGGTAAGCAATGCATTATTTATATTAGGAAAGAAGCTGGAGTGTGAAACCAGAATCCCAGGGTGCCTACTCTGAGTAAACATTGAATGGAAGGAGTTGAAGAGCTGACAGAATGAGCTGTCCTTGCTTGCCTTTGTGGAATCTCATTGTCTTCAGGAGGAGAATGTGATGAACTGAAAGGCTGAAGTTTTCCGTGGGTTGGAATGGAGCAGTGACTGTGGTGGTAACAGCACAAAGGGAAACTGAGTCCTGCTCATCCATGATGGCTCTGCTGGCTTTGTAAAGGGTAACAGGCAGCATCTGTTTGTGGCTTCTGATAAAATGGATGTTTATGTCTCAGGGAGCACACAGGGCACTGGGTTTGCAGGGCATTGCAGTGTCATTTTGACATTGCTACTTCTAATCTAAGAGCTTTTCTTATCAACTCTTTGTTCAAGATCAGTTCATGTAAGAATAGAACTTCCAAAGGCAGAATATTTCAAGAGACTGATTACCTGCTTCTAATTCCACGTGAATTCTGAATAGCAGGTAAGATTAGATGGTCACAAATGAAATGTAAACTATTGATTCAGTTTGCACTGGTGTTTAGTGCAAACACACACTGCTCTGTCCCATTTTTTTCTGTTTAAAGGAGGGAGACTGTTCATTAGTGAAAAGAATCAGCATGGCATTGCATTTACTGCTTGTTTAGGAGAACCTGGTCCCTTTGATGTAGCTAGAGACCCTTGAACTTCAGAAAAGAATGTGTTAGCATGCAAGAGTATGCCTTAGTCCTGCAGGTCATTTAATCATTTTCTCAAGTGAGTCATTGTAAGGTAAAGTAGATGCTGAGAAAAGTTCTGCATTGCCAATTAAAACAGGCTCCAAAGGTGTTGCTGGTTTCATTCTACCAGAAACTCATCACTGAGAGGCCAGGAGGGCTTGCCTGTGTACCTTGAGGCCAGATCCCAAACTAATATAAACTGGCAAAGCTCTTTTGCCTTATACCAATAAAGGTATTCCTTTCAGGCTCAATTCCTTTATGCTTGTGACTTTTAAAAGAATTTCTGTTAGGAAAACAGGAATGATTCGGAAATGGGTAGATTTCCACACATGTAAGAATTGAATGAATTTCAGAAGAAGCCTGTAAATAACTTGAGGTGTGAGTTCTGATTCGTTCTTTATAGAGGACAAATTTTATCTGCCTCAAACCCCCCGTGAAATAAAGCTGAGTGAACACTGGCAGCCTCAGCATTTGTCCTAGGCAAGACATCTTCCATGAAATCAGGTTTAAGATAAAATTAAGGACAGGAATGTACTAATTAGTAAGTGCTACTCTTGTTTTTTGCCAACAAAACCTCACTTTCAACGTATTTGACAAAAAATAATTGAAGCTAATCAGAAAGCTAAAGCATTTCTTATATTTACAACTCTAGACTAAACACTAGACTTTTCTGGAAGGGATAAAATCAGGGATCCTAAAGCACTTGCAAAGTCAGGAAGATGATTTGTTTTCAGCCTTTTGAGATGGAACACCTGATGTGGCAACCAGGGGGCCATTCAGGAAGCTTCCAGAACAGGGGAGCTGCCGGATCCCATCCCACAGAAACAGAGTATAAACCAAAAAGGACCCAGCTTTGAGTGTCAGCACTGTGGCAGTTACAAGGCAGACAAGCTGCAAGAAACCTTGGAAACCTGCCTGGTCTCCCTTGGAAAAGTTATCAGGATTGCTGTGTGCCCACAAGCCTTCACACTGGCATTTTGGGGCAAACTTTGTTCTGGAAGGTTCCTGACAAGCTCACATCCTTTACTTCATGGTGCTGAGCCCTTCCTTTCCTGACTTTTAGGAACATAATCTTTAGATGGCCTTATTTGCATTGGAGAAATACTGCTGGAACTTTCACCCTAGCATGTGAGGAGTTTTCTCTGTGTAGAAACAACATGGGTAAAATATTTGGAGTGAAACCCAGGCTGCATTGAAGTCAATGGCAAAACTCCCATTCACTTCAGTGGAGCAGGAATTTCACTCTTTACTGTTTTGAAGTTAGAGTTACTAATAGACTGTTAGATTATTCCTGCGTGCATCAAACAAAATGTGCTTGATGTTAATGTTTCTGCAGTGTTCAAAAACCACAAAGGTTTAAAAAGAAGAATAACTATGAACTTCTGAGTCTAAAAATTACATTGAATGTAGTTTTGCTAGGAATAATAATAATAATGTCCCTGGAGATAAACCTAAAATAATAGACTCCACCATATAATCTTCACTGTAAGCTAAAAATAGCAGAGATGGTGGTTCAATCTAAGCCATAATTATCAAAGTGCTGAAGTGGGTTTTGGTTCACTGCTATTAGAAATGGATGTCGTGTTTGGGCTCTGAACAGTCAAGTCCCACAACTAGGGAGGAGCAAAGCCAAGAGCACAGTCAGAAAGCAAACAGGAGCCTCAGATTTGTAGGGAAATAGCATGGATTAAGCAGTGCATATTTAAAGGGACTGCTCCTGGCTTGCTCCAGCCAGCCAGCTGGAGACCCACTGAGTTCTGTATTTTCAGCCCCAAATTGGTGATGTTTTGCTAGAAGGTGACACTGGCCATAGAAGGCACCTTTCTTCTGAAAGTCATTTTCTATTTCACTTTGGAATTGAAGGAGGAATGTTACTGTTTCAAAGAGTTACTACTCTGTATGATTCTGGATAAGGGTTTTAATGTTCATTTTGAAGCAGGATGGAAAATCCTTAACTCACTTTCTGTGCCAGGCAGGTTGTTGTGATGCGCTGAGTGTAGGACTGAGTGTAGCAGGTGACCTTGGTCACATCTTTTTCCCTGTTCACAAAGTTTTACCTGCAGCAGAGGAGTCTCACCTTCCTGTAGTGGCAGTAGGGATTTATTCTGAACCTGAACCTGCTGTAGCAGCCCAATGGTGAAGACTCCCCTGATGACAGAAGGGTCCTGAGGGGGAAGTTGGATGGAGGTTGAAGTAACACATTTCTGTTTCTGAGTGCTTTTGGAAATCCTCACTGAACTTGTTTGAATTCCTCTATGTGTTTATACAACACAATCTGCTGTTTGTTTAGATGGTTTGTTTTGCTGAGTAGATCCCATTCTGTCCTTGCTGAGATGGGCATGGGGCAGTCCTGGTGCTTGTTTGGACAGTGCTTGCAGAAATGGGGCTTGGATTTGCCTCAGGCTCCAGGCTAAACAGTGCTGTGACAGAGTCAGAGCCTAATTTAGGTTGGAAGGGCCTGGAGATCATTTGATCCAGCCCACCACTCAGAAAAGGATCAGCCTCAAAGTTAGATGATTGTACAATACCACTAATTTAGAAAAATGTGTTTCCTAACAGTATATTCCAAATTCACACTGATGCAAGAACAAAGTAGGCTCATCTCTAGGTCATTCTCTCAGTGTAATTCTAACGATCCTATCCACTAGATTTGGCAATACAATCCAAAATTTTCATTAAATATTCCAGCAGATACCCTCCAAGTTCACTGCTCATAAACCCTAGGAGGAAAGTCCATAAGAGGCACATTTAAAAATTTCAAACACGCAAATACCAAACACTTTGTGAAATTAAGGCAATGGATAAAATAAAGAACCTCTAGTTCATTTATTGAACAGGTGCCCAGGGCAGTGCATGGCTGACTGTGTGTGGTATGGGCAGCCTGTTGTCCAGCTGGTAATCCCTGAGAGTGTCATTGCTGAGGGCAGTGGGAATGAGAAACCCACATCATACTTTGACAGGTTTTTTCTCTTGTCTTGTTCTAATCCAACAGCATGGGGATGAGCCACGATGATGATCATCAGCCCTGTGCTGGGAGGTCTCACATCATGTCTGGAGAATGGGTGAAGGGCAGGAACCCAAGTGACCTTTCCTGGTCCTCCTGCAGCCGAGACGACCTCGAAAACTTCCTAAAGTAAGGATTGTACTGAGTGTCAAAAATCCTGCCAGGCAAGAATCCACTCTGTTGCTTTAAAGTGAAAGTATTAACAATGTTCCTTTTAAAAAAGTGTAGGTGTGTCATTGGGGTATGCAAATTTGAACCTGTCTCCTTTGCAATAGCACCTTGAAACTGAGGATTGAAGAGAGGCAGATGAATTATGTGCAGTTGTCAATGTACTGATAACATCTTTTAAAAAATCCCATATCACCTTTTTTTTACAGAAAATGCCCTTCAATTTTGCAATGACAGAAATCTGTGTGTAGGTGGCTTGCAGGAATCTCTGCTTAAAGATGCTGCAGCTTTATGCTGTGATTTTTACTGTCTTGTTATTGAATAGCTTTTATTTTATTGAAACTTGACTTTGCCTGGAGGTTATTCTGATGTGTTTTCTCACTCCTCAATGAATGTTGGTCTAAAACAGTTCACTATGAACTTCTTTCCCACTGCATCCATGTTTCAGCTCATCATATTCAGTTCTTCAGGAAGGATTTCTGTCCTGCTGCTTGTTAAATCTCATGAACTGCAGGAAGCACTGGAATTATCTGAACTCTGCAGATCTAATCTTAAACCTACAGTGCAGCTCTCTGACGAACAGTGCCTGGCACAATGCTTTGTGCTAGGAGTGGGTTCAGCACGGAAAATTTCCCACTCTGGGGGTTACAGGTGGGAAAGAAAGGAAAATAATGAAAGAAAATGGGACATTTAATGCCACATTAAAGGCATGAGTTAGAAAAAGAAGTTACATCTGAACTCATCTGGTTGCAACTGGTCCCTGATATGACAGTGATATTCCAATTTGTAAAAGATTGCTGTGAAGGCAAAGAGAAAAATCTTTTTATGCCTGTGATGGATAAGAAAAAATGTAAAGGGTTCAGAATTCAGCTGTGGGGATTGAGGTGAGACATGATGGCAGACTTTGTAGCTGGCATTTCAAGGCAAGTGAAGCTTTGGGCCGGATTGCCTGAGGGCCAAATTGAGTCTCCTTCAGATTTCTAGGAAGGATTTAGGCAAATGTTTAACCCAGAATGTTGTGAATGTTGGTTTAGACAAAAGTTTAACCCAGAATGTTGTGAATGTTGGTTTAGACAAAAGTTTAACCTAGAGTGTTGTGAATGTTATCTCTCCTGCCTTGAGGCCTGGGGCCGCAGGTGACTTCCCAAGGCCCTTTATATCCATAGCTCTCAAGGATTCACACGACTTCCAGGGAAAACCCCACAGTTTCACACTGTTAAAGAGAGGACAGGGCTCCTCTGCAGCAGTGACCTAACACTGCCGTTCAGGGGGCTTTCCCTGAGGACATTTTTCCTTGCTGCCCTGCCAGGTCCAAGGTGAGCACCTGTCTGCTGCTGACCGACCCCCGCAGCCAGTACTCGGTGCGGCTCCCTCACAAGCTGCCCGGCATGCACTACAGCGCCGACGAGCAGTGCCAGATCCTTTTTGGCACCAACGCCACCTTCTGTAAGGATATGGAGGTAAGAGCTCGTGGGTTGGAGCTGGAAACAAGGTGGGAAGTGGAAATAAAGCTGCTAAGCTCTGGGGAGGAGAAAAGGAGTCTGTGTTTCCCTCAGGTTCAGCGCTGCTGGTGGAAAATCAAACGGCCTCGAGCTCCGTCAGCCGCTCCTGCTTAGGCCTCATCCTTCTTTTCCCTTGGTAATCTCCCAGAGCAGACTCAGAAAAACTGGTGTTTGCACGTTGTTCCCTTTTGAGATTGTTTTGCTGAAATGCTCTGTAGAGATTGTTTTCCTGGAAGTTCAGCTGAGGTGAAAGTCTCTCCTCACAAGAGTGTTTGGCGACTCCCACAGAGTCAGCTTAGATGGCTGGCTGGGCGTTCACAGACCTCACCTTCAGACCACTGCAGTGTTCTAAGGAGCTGACTCTTAACTGTGCTGAGGAAATATTGATGTCTGCTTGTTTCATGAAGCCTTGAATTCTGTGCAGAATCCTGTATGTTTTCTGAGCAACATGACGTTTACTCAGGATTTGGGTGCAGTGTGGGGTATCTTGGGGCTGGTTGGCAAAATGGGAACATTGACTGTTGCTGTATCTAGGAGCAGGTTGTGCTTGAGATGAGGCTGTTGGACTCATCTCTGGAATTCAGACAGCCAAGTTTTTCATAAGGTATTACACATAATCAGATCTTTTGATTCTGAGCAGATCTTACCCCCTGCTTTAGACAGGGAGTGGGGTAGTGCCTGCTTCCAGCATGGCCTTGGAGATATAAAAAAAAAGTCATGAAACTGTGTGGGGTCACCAGCACCAGCTGGCAGCATCTCCTCCTGTACAGACAGGCAAGAAGCAGACAGGTTTCTTGCTTTTAATAACTGGCCATTTGTATTTTTTAGTTGTCCCTCATTCCCACTCTGAACAAGCTTGGGATCTTAAATCAGTGTTAAGAAAGAAAACAATAATCAGAGATAACTGGGGCTTTTAAGTGCCAAATTGCTAGAACTGTGGAACACGTGCAAGTCCTGGGAAAATGCTCTTAGTTTCACATTAGCTGTTTTATTTATTTTGGACTTGGAAACTAGCTAATATAAAACAAAGGAAAAGAATCTGGACAGGTTGTGTTTCCCAGCTCCATCAAGAAAATGCAGACCACCAGGACTACTGTACTGGAAGCAAAGTGTTAGAATATAGGTCTGTAAAGAAAACCTCAGATCTACCCAGCATGACTCAAGTTCTTCCACTTGTGTGGGTGTCACCCAGCTGGGCTGCTCTTGGAAGGGATTTTTGCTATTTCCCTTGTTGTGATAAAAAAACCATTTTGTTTCTGGATATTCCAGTGCCTGATGAGAATGTCAGCCTGCTGGTAGGTGGTCAGCATTTCCCACACAGGAGTTGCATGTCCAGTCTGGAATTGCTTCAGGGACTTGTTGTTTGCCAGAATAATGCGCCAAGAGGCACCATTCTCTGTGAGGTATAGACAGCAGGTGTCTGTGTCTCCCAAGATTTTTCACCAGTCTAATTATTTGACACTTTAGAAGCAAATGAAAAATGTGCTCTTTTCCTCCATCTCTCCTTTCTCCCCAAAGAGAAGCATATTTTGTGAGGACATTAGTGCTTCCTAATGAAAAGCCTGGTAGATTTCATCTCAGATGAAAGCAGATTCAAACTAATTTGCAGTCCCTTATTTAGAATTATTTCTGTTGCAGATGTGCATTAAGAATTAGCATTCACCCTGTGAAGCTCTGGATCAGTTTTGTCACATGCCATTAGTTTAAGCTTGTGTTTACATCCTGTTATGCTACTCTGAATTGGTGTTTGATAGCAAGGAAAGGAAATTCTTTAGAGGAAATGATTACTTTTGACTTTTAAAGCTCTGAAGTTTGTGTTCATTTCACCTTTGTGTTCCTCAGGCCTCATCTGCAGAATACTTGTATCATAAGTCTCAAAGCTGTCTACAAAAATATGAACCAAAAAAAAAATTGGCACTGCTCACTGGCATTAGCTGTAGAAATTATTGGCAAATACAGCTGTCTCCTCTTTTAGCCAATGGTAATGTGGTATTTTTAATTCAATAAAGTATTAAAAAAATCCAAATGTAAAAGCAATAAACATTTGACAGTAAATATTTGTTACGAAAAGGAAATAAGCTTCAGGAAATGACCCTGCTCAATCTTTTTATGATTACATGTGTCTGCTGCCTATTTTCTTATATAATAAGAGAGTTACATTACAGTATTTCTTTGGAGATAGTTGAGCTGCATAATTATATCAGGCAAACTAGAGGCCCTATATTCAAAAATGCCATGCAATTTGGTTTAGAGCAAACTTGAGAGGTTAGATAACTCCCAAATTTCAACATTTTTGAGAAACACAGAAATTGCTGTGCAGTAAGCTCCCTCCTTTAACAGCATCAAAGCCCTGTTTTTTGAGGGAATGTGATCTTTGCTTTCACAGGGAGTCAGGTCCCTCAATGCTTGGCAGTGGCTGGGCCTCCCACACCAGTCCAACAAGATAGTTAATCCAGGAGTATTCACCCAGTTTTGAGATTGCATCCCCAAAATTCTTCTTCCATTTTGTTTTAAGGATAACTTAGATGCCTTAGAACAAAACTGTAGCTCTCTGTTTGCCAAACCAGCTATCCTGCAGCTATTCTGCTCCAAATTTACAGAAGAGAAATTAAAACATATGAGCAAGGATCAGCTTTACATACACCAAACCTCTCCATTCCTTTCTCCTTTCCTTCTGCATTTTAATGTACTAAAAAATGAGTTTATGATGGTCAGATGATCCACAGTCTGTTGTAACCTGTGACCTCCAAGGTGTATAATTCAGGATCTGTAACCTCAGTGTTGGGTGAGGTTTTCTAGTGCCTGTCACCTCTTTAAGGAATGGTGAATCAGGGTTTTAGCCTGGGCTCCTGCTAGGCCAGGGAACAAGTGTGCAAGGCCAGAGAACAAGTGTACAAGGCCAGGCTGGACAGGCTTGGAGCACCCTGGGGTAGAGCAAGGTGTCCCTGCCCATGGCAGGGAGTTGGAACTGGGTGAACTTTAAGGTTCCTTCCAACCCAAACCATTCCGTGGTTCTATGGTTAATGAATCTCTCAAGAGCCTTCAGTAGATCCCCCTTCATATCCAAGTTATAGAGTTTTCCCCTGGAGTACACAAAGGGATCAAAGTGTTCTCTGTTCATCTTTCCCATTGCAAATGTCAGGCATTGTCTGATCCACACAAGTGCTTATCTAGCAGGCTGTACAAGTGTCTGCCATGGCAGGCATGGCTGCAGCTGGGAAGCTGCACAGTGCTGGGAAATGAGCTCCTTGGTGAGCTTTGGCCCACCTAGGAGGTTACACAGTGGCCTTTATTTTGAGGCAGACAAGTTGCTTTTAGAGAAATGAACGTGCCATTCTCCAGCTCTGACACATCATGGTAATTGCAGGGGAAGCTGGTCAGAAATGCACCTGTGACGCTGCACAGGCGTTCCCAGTGCACCCCAAACACACAGAGACCCCGGGGGGCTCTGGCTGCTCAGTGCTGCTGTGAGCCCGGGGCTGCCATGGGAGCAGTTGTGCAAATTACAGGCAATTCCACCTGGCTGACCTCTGTCCTTCAGCTCCACGCTGGGCTCTGAATCAGCTATTGCGAATTGGTGTGACCCCTCCGAGGGAGGAAGCAGAGAGCTCCAGCCCCAGTCAGGCGGTGATGCCTGAGAGCAGAGTTAACCCTTTGCTGCCCCTGTGCTTATTCCAAGAGGAATAGCACAAGTGGTTTCTGCTCAGTCTTTCAGGGAGCAGAAATTCATCAAAACACATCTGAAACTCCCATGGAAACATTCTGCGTGTTTAATCTTTATTTTTCAGGCTGGCACACCTACCAACAGAGGCTTTTGCACTGAAATCATGTTTGGGGGGGGAAATGTGATCTCTATCTCATGTATCCATTTCGCTTTTTGTTTTTTAAGCCTTTTGGCTTATTTATTATTAACACATTTTTGTGGGTTTTTATGTAACTGTTATCATCCACATTGTTTTGAGTCAAAACTGGGCTGAGGCTGGAGTGGCACTTGCAAGGAGATTACATTGCTACCAAGAGATTTTTTTTTTTCTGACAAGGGACACTGTCAACTCAGATGTAGCTGGGAATGTGAATTTTGACATAGCACTGTTTTTAGAAATACCAAACCAGCTAGAACTGGCTCCACTGTTTTTCTTAGGTTCAGGTTGTTTTTTAACAAATTTAGGTATTTTCCAATATCTACAAGCTGCAGAACAAGGGGGCAAAGTTGATTGCAAGCCAAAGGAGACAAAGTAGAATTCTTGGCTAATGTGGAAAAAGAGAGGAACCAAAAACAAAGTAAAGAAAAAGTAGCAATTGTAATGATCAAGTGGATTTAATGTTCTCCTTGAGCTTACATATTTGCTGTGTGGTGGTGAGTATAATTCAGCAATTGTAGGTCTCTCTGTGGTCTTGGTCTTGCAAAGAGGCTGCTGGAGTGGCCTTTTGGGCTCTGTGCATGGGAATCAATGGGGCTCTGTTTGCCTTTTCTCTGCAGGGCCATTTGTGAGATGCAGACCATGATAGTGAGCCCTATTATTTAGTAATGTATAGAATATTTACAAGAACGTGGTAATTAGATTGAAAGCTGGTTTATGCTGAAAATAATAGGTTGCATTGTCATTTTCTGTACAACCAGGGACTTTGTCTACGTAGTAATACTAATAAATCTGGAAGAGGATGGGTTGGGTTTTTCTTGAGGCTTGCAGGATAGAAGCCTGGCAATTCTAAAATAAAATTAGCTGATTTTTCTTTTTTTTTTTTTTTTTGAGAAGTAAAGGTAGCAATTAACTTAATTGCTATTCTATAGTTTATAGTTTTCCTCATGTAGATTGTCAGAATTCAGACTATTTTCACATTGCCTGTTTCTATGAAGCTGAAGTGTCTTATTTCACTACTTCTGTATGTTGCAAAAATACATTTTTCTCTTTATTTTCAGTGGAAATACTTTTTATTTAAGAGAGGGAGAGAACGAG